TTTTAGCAAGAAAACTAAAAAGAAATTTCTTTGTAGATAAAGATAATACTTACTGGGAGTACTGAGCCTTTTATCATTTTGTCATGAATATACCAGTTGCTCAGGGATGAAATTAAAAAGTAAAATAAAGCTTTAATTTCCATCTGAAGATGATTAAAGATAAATACTCTAGTACAGTCATCTGATATCTGCTGGGGATTGGTTCCAGGACCCCCTGACAATATCAAAATGCTCAAGTCTCTTACATAAAATGGCATAATATTTGCATATAACTTCACACATTCTTCTGTACACTTTAAATCATCTCTAGATTACTTTTAATAGTTGATGCAATGTAAATGCTTTGTAAACAATTGTTATGCTATATTGTTTTTTTATTTGTATTAGTTTTATTGTTGTATTGTTTTTTACTTTTATTTTTTTCCTGAATATTTTTGATCTGTGGTTGGTTGAATCTGCAGATGTGGAACCCGCATATATGGAGGACTGACTGTATTATGTACATAAGATTTTGTGAGCTTATATATATATATATGCACATTTGCAAAAACCTCATATTCTCTTCTTTGTTGAAAATGTTAATTCTCTACTAGAATTGTGCATATAATTTTATTTATACATGCTGTTCTTTATCGAACTAGTATCCCATCTTGTCATCTCATACTGTTTTGGTGCTCCATGATAAATTATATTCTTTGTGGCAAGAAAAGCCACAAAGATAAAAATCTATCAGTCAAAAAGGGTGAGTTGCACATAGGCCAGGTAAGCAGTGTCAGGGCACTTACTTTAGGTACCTCCCTTGTGAGCTGTACAGAGCAAGCTTCTGAATTGAATTGTCTTATTATCTACTACATCATTGCCAATCAGCGCTGCTGCCTTTTCAATCACTGCAGCCATGTATCACTACTGCTCAGATTTTAATATTTGAGGCATTGTACTATCTGATACACATGTGTTTTAGCTGTTACCACAAATGTTGATGGACATTTAGCCATTTCCCTTGGCCTATCTGTCTAGTCTCCATGATATATGAACATCATCGTATTAATAGATCTTAGAAAATAATTTCTTCTATACCTCCCATAGCAACAGATAACTCCTAAGTTTTTAAGTCACTTTACATGCTACTGATGACTAGGATATCCAGAACATGGTTTATTGGAAGAAAAGAAAAAGATATAAGAAGACCTGGGTTTGCATTTGGCTCTGTCTTACGAGCCTCCGTTTTATAACATATAAAATGAGGATAATAAGCCCTATTTATATCATCGGGTTGTCATACAGATCAAATAAGATAATGTAGAGGAAATATCTATGAGTTATAAAGTACTCTACAGACACTTGTTAATATCAAAGTAATTATAGGTTCTTAAGAGTCTTAAATACAAAGCTCTACCTAAGAATTCATATACAGTAAATGGAATTTCAATGCCACACACAACGGATACTAGTGGTGGCCTAATAAGAAAATAAATACACAAGTCTGTTCTCATCCTACCCCCTTTTTATTATAAGACTTAGAATTTGTTTAGAATCTTTTATGTCACATAAATAATGATTCTTCTGACACATATTTACAAATAATTTCTTCATCCAGTATCAAAGAATACTAAAAGAAATTCACCTCAATTTTAATTCAATTTTATTTTTTCACCTAAACTGTATAGTTGTCCAGCTGTGTTCTTTGTTTTCATGGATCCTTAATTCATTTAATGAGGCTAGTGCCGTATCTTTGTGGTATTTTCCTCTGTGTCCCTTTGTATGATACATTGAGCTACGTTTGTGAGAATCTTTGCCAAATCCAGCAAAAACTTCATTGTATAGCGCCAGAAAAGAGAAAAATGGCACACAGTAGCATCTTTCTTTTTCCAATAACAGTGTCAGCAATTAACAAATGTAATCAGGCAAACTAAGCAAAGCTTAGAGAGTAAAGGATAGAGTCTCTTTGAGATTCAGGATGTTACAAATGCTTTTAAAGTGGTCAACAAAAACAGTCAAAATGCTATCACAAGCTTCTGTGTTGTTAAAGCAGTATTCTTTGAAGCACTTCCCTTGTCTCATCTCCAGGCTGGAAACATGCCCATCTTTGCAGATTACATTATCATGCCCTGTTCTTTAGCAGGAACTATAGTAGACTATTCAACAACACAGATTTGAACTGCACATGTCCACCTATACACGGATTTTCTGCCACTCCTGCCATCCAAGAGAGCAAGATCAATTCCTTCTCTTCCTCCTCCTCCTCAGCCTATGAAATGTGAAGACAATGAGGATAAAGACCTTTATGATGATCCGCTTCACTTGATGAATAGTAAATATATCTTCTCTTATGATTTTCTTGATAACATTTACTTTTCTCTAGCTTACTTTATTGTAAGAATACAGTATATAATACAAATAACATACAAAATAGGTATTAATTGACTATTTAGGTTATTGGTAAGGCTTCTGGTCAACAGTAGGCTACCAGTAAAGTTTTTAGAGAGTCAAAAGGTATACCTGGATTTTTTACTGTGTGGGGGGTCAGTACACCTAAAACCCACATTGTTCAAGGATCAACTGTTCATCAATTGCCTTACGATTTGAACAAATACTTGCTGAGACGTCTTTTAAAGTAAGCACCTAAAATGATCCCTTTGCTAGTGACTTGGTTAGTCTGAAAATGAAAAGAGGAAACAAGAATGGGTTGCCTTGTCTCAGTACGGTTCTCTTCTCCATATGGCTGTGGTGGTATCCAACAACCAGAATATTCTCCAAATCTACCTGAAGCTTTTGGAATTGGGTGAGGACCAAGCCATGATGGGCTACTCTGTAAGCTTCCATTGACAGCTGATTTGGGGGCAAGACATAACATGAATTAGTCCCAGAACTTTGACTAGTTTTATTTTTTAGAAATTTATTTATTTTTAAAATTTCTAAACCATCAGAGATTGACATCTTTTGTGAAGGTTTGGGAAGAATCAGAATCCCTAGGGCTAATAAATTTCCAAGGGAAGCTCTGGAGAAAACAGTAGCAAAAGCTGACTCAAGAAGGTTCCAGAGATATTTTCCATGACTGATCCATAACTCTTGGGGCTGCCTACCAGAACCCATACAAGGGTATGGAAAGCAAGCTGTAGCATAAGAAGGAACTCTCAGTTACTCGCATACCCCTAGTCCTAGCCCTGCTGCCTACAGAAAAGCATCTGATCAAGTAACCATTTTGACCACTGAAAGAACCAATGAAGATATACTTATCCAATAAGGACAACAATGAACAGATACCATTGCTTGATTCCATTATACTTTAGAGATCTCAAAACACTTTTTTTTTTTTCACAGAGTCTTGCTCTGTCACCTGGGCTAGTAAGTCTCTCTCTGTCACCTGGGCTAGAATGCCATGGCATCACCCTAGCTCACAGCAACCTCAGACTCCTGGGTTCAAGTGATCCTCCTCCCTCAGCCTCCTGAGTAGCTGGGACTACAGGTGCGCACCACCATGCCTGGCTAATTTTTTCTATTTTTAGTAGAGACGGGGTCTTGTTCTTACTCAGGCTGGTCTCAAACTCCTGACTTCAAGTTATCCTCCTTCCTCGGCCTCCCAGAGTGCTAGGATTACAGGCATGAGCCACCGCACCCAGCCTCAAAACACTTTCAAATGTATTATCACATTATGCCAACCATGACTTCCTGAGGCTAAAAGTACAGAATGTATTCATCCCACCTCAAAGATGAACAAACAAGTTTAGGGAGGCTCTAGGATTTGATCAATGTAGTAGAGGTAGAACTTGAATTCGGGCCTTCTGACTTTGTGTCCAGTACTCTGCTATCTATATTATACCTCATCTGATCTTCCTCTGAGGGCCTTCATAGCACTCTGATTTTGATTGTGAAAATAAATAAAATTTAAAAGCTATTGGAACCTCCAAAACACTTAAAGCCTTGAGAGAGATGTGACTGTGATCTGAGTCATGTAACATACTTTGCAATTCTGCTTCTTAGATTATAGCTTAACTCTCTTGCTCATTGTTCTTGTTTGTAAATGACTAGGGAAGACTAGAGAACAGACTTCCCCCTTCCCGTCACTGATCTTTGTTATAGATTAACTGCCTCCTTTATTGTCCTGTACCTAACTCAGACCAGATAGCACCTTGAACAGGGACCCCATGACAGTTAAATCTTCAGTGTGGAATGTTAAATATACCTTTCCCAAAAGAGAAGGACCACCTTGACTCATCAGATTGTTATAACTATGCATTAAGCCTTACATAGAAACATGTTGAAATTCTGTTAAAATTTCCTAAATTTTGTCTTTATAAGTGATTCTAAACTTCTACAATTTGGAACACTGACTTCCATTCTTTGGAATCTGTGCTTCCCGGGGAGGCCTGTCCTCAACCTTTGTGCTTCAATAAACTCTCTTTAACTAGATTCTGACCCTTTAGATTATTTTAGGTTGACGTGATCTACATTGATTAGAATTATTTATGCAGTCACCATGGTGGCTGTTTAAATTAATATTAACAATGAAATGACCTTAAATTTGTCTGTTGTCCACTGTCCACTGCCCATAAATAGTCTTATGAGAAAGTAAAAATAAACACAAGGAATTCATCTAATAGGTCTTAATGTTGGGCTTTAACATTTTAAGGGAAATGAAAACTGTTTACAAATCAACCTCACAGATGAATTTTTTACTGTCATTCGTTGCATAGTAGAATTATGCTGTGTTTGTTTGTTTAATGTTACTATGAACAAAACTTAGAAACCATAGGAAGAGTTATAAAGAAGCTCGGTTTTGGGCAAGTTATGTACTATCAACTTTGAGCTATCTGACCCAGTGAGCAATGTGTGCTTGTTGATCTTTCTCGGGATAGCCCTGCCTCAGACAAAAACTTTCTAACACTAACAAGGAATATAATTTAAATGTCCACAAAAATACTATGAGTTACAAATTTGATTTCCTGGCTACAGTAGCTATAGAGAGAGTCTAAATCACTCAAAAGGGAAAAGAAACTTACCCCTCCCCATGTTTTCTGGTGGTCTCCAGCAGGTCCTTGGATGATGATTCCCTGTACAAAACAGAGCACATACACACGGTCAGATTCACAGAGGCTGAGTCACTACATCAGATATGCTCCATTACAGCTGATGTGGTCAATGTGAGCATTTCATTTCAGAGTGTTCCAATCTTGCTCTCTTACACAAATGCTTTCTCTATCATAAACAGATATCTAACCTCGGGGGACAGAAACACACTATTCCAGAAGCATGGGCTCTATATCAACTTACCATAACCTTCTTTATCTGGTATTAGTTTCTGCCCTTGCCAACTTAAAATCATCATATTCATCACATGCTTGTCTCTTAGGAAGATAGTGATATCAACAAAAAATGGCAAACAAAAATGCCACAAGGTCCAATGTTAATAACCAGGTTAGCATGTTATTAGCTTGCTTGTCCCTGGCTTTCCTTCAATAGCATTCTGTGACAAATCTAATACCCCTTATGGTGTAAAATTTTCCTGAATGGTGTGAGACAACAGCACCCCTAATCAAATTATCCCTGAGGCAAAGCAGCCCACAGAGTTATTTCCAATAAACAGTATGAATCAATGACCATGAACTACTGACAACAGAACCTTTGGAGAAACAAAAAAACACACTGCAATTGCAGAGGAAGGGTGTGTGTGGGGGAGTAGCAATTCTGTTTTTAAAAGATGAAAAAAACATATACATAACGTACACAGAAGCTAATTCATACTGTAACATTTCATTTTCTTACAGGTTCAATCATAGAGCTACCACACATTTACTATTCACTTGTTCCCAATAAAAAACTAAGCACCTGAGAGGTAATAACTGTAAGACATAGTCTATCAGTCCATAAGGAATTTATAACCTACTTGAAGTTAAACAGAGACAATTTAGGAATAAATATCACTGAAACCTGATAACCAGGTGTGTAACCCTGGAAAATCATTTTCTATCTCAAATTCTTTGCAAAAGGAAGGGCTGAACTATGTTTTTCCCAAATTTCCCTCCACAGGATGGTAAAAGGTGTATTATCCAAAAACAGGACTCTATGATCAAATAAATGTAGAAAATGCTGACTTAAGATTAAAGGGTTTTCAGAGCCTTTAAAATGCTAATAAGCAATGTGACAAAAGTACAATCTCAAAGTATTTGGCTACATAGTCCTTTTTGTAAGCAATCAACATTTCTCAGGAGTCTTACTCTTTGGAGTTCATTTTGGGAAACTGGACAAGATAACTGCTAAAGCCTCTTGTAGCTCTGAAATTCTATTATTTTCCAATAAGATATGAACTATATGGAACAAAGTTAACATAAAATGAATCAAGAAAGAAATAAAGGGGGCTGGATATTCAGAGAATTTTGGAGCTGAAAGTAACTTTAGAAATCATCTAATGATTTCTCACCAATCTACCTTTTTTGAAAGCAGCAGACAGCCCTCAAAAAATCTTATGCAGATCACCAATATATAAAATGGGTTAGGGAAGAATTCTTCAGGTGGAATTGGGGTGGAGGGCTATAGTCCCACCCAGTGGGATTTCTCCTTGAGGCAGCCTAGATATACCTCAGCAGAAACCCAGCACTATAGGAAACAGAGTTTGAAATCCAGTGACCCCTGATGAAGCTATTCTGGGAATATGAAAGAGCTGTAACTCTTACACCTTTACACAGGAAGGTCCTCATCCTTCTCAAGTATCATCCCAATTTTAACTGTAACTCCTCAAATCAGATAAATAAAATAATCATTATGTAAATATAACTGTAAAACCTTTCTTACTCCAGGAAATACCAAAAGAAAGTCAATATATTACAATGTAATCCATGTACAAATAAAAAGCCATGAAAGAGTTAAGCAGGGAAGTGATATAGCAAAATTGGGACTTTAAGAAAGGAGACTTGAGGTGCGAGAGTGGTTTGATCAGGGACAGTGATATCGGAGATGCTAGGTAAATCTGGCAGCACTTCTTGTATTTTATTTCTTGTTTATTCTTCAATATTTAATAGTCTTTTTGAAAAGAATCAAGCCTATATCAGCTGTGTTAGTGGGAACCACAAAGGAAAGGGCTGTCAGGCATGGGCCGACTTTTTCAAAGAGGAATTGCCTCTCCAGAGGTCAGCATGGCGGAGACAACAGGCATCATTGGAGGCAGCTATCTTCCAGGATAAGATAAAACCAAGGAGGCAAAAATCAGTACTACCTGTCAGTCATTTGACCTAGCATTCCAGTAGTAAACCTCCAAAGATCAGCATCTTATTTTAAAGAAGATAATTTCCTTACAGAGATATGGGGCTCAAGGCCTACTATCCATATGACCGCATACCTCAAACTCCCTCAAGTCCCCAGGTTACCCCCCTGCTTCTTCTGTTGTCATGGTCTTTCCACTCTGATCCCCTGCTGCTCTACTTTCTAGTGCTTTTTTTCAGCTAGTGTGTGTGTGTGTGTGTGTTTATGCGTGTGTGAGTTTTATACTTCTCTAAGCAGGAGTATTTGTCAATCTTGATTCCCATTCAGGTCCGCATCCAAAACTAAATATTACTTCTAAGGTAATGGCAACACACTTAAAAACAACAACAACAAGGCAGCTTTTAGCTAGATATTAGGAAATCTAAATAAAAATAATCACCGTCCCATGTATTTACCCAGCCTGGCATTAAACACCCTCTACAACTAGGTTCCAACTTCCTTAATAGTTATACTATATTCCAGCCAAACCCGCCTCTATTCATCCCTTAAATATGCTTTGAACTGTTCCAGTTCTATGCCTCTGCTCTTTTCCTCTGTATGATCTACTTCAACAAAAATTCCATTCATCCTTCAATATCAGTAGTGATGCCTTCCCTCATTACCTGAGCAGGAAGTAATCTCTTTTTCCTTTGAACTCTCATATAATATGGAACTTGTATACTACCTCATACAGATGTTCATACTTTATAGTGTCTATCAGACTAATTATCAGAGGGCAAGCAATTTGTCTCTTCTATACCTGTATCAAGCCTGTGCAACGCTCTAGCTCATTCCCAATAAGGGTTCTAGTGGCCCACACAAACCAGACTTAGGGGAACTGCCTTATCATAATAGTATACAACAAATACCAATAGAATCTTTGAAGGCTTTGAGGGAGGATTAAATGAGAACGCTTTAAAAGTTCTTGATAACAGTAAGCAGCATCTATGAGAATATAAATAAAAATTTGGTGTTTTCCCCCAAAAAATGTCTTGGTTCCATCTGGCTTTTGTTTATTTTCTAGCTGGTCAATCTGGCTCAATACATGAAGTGTAACTATTACTACTTAAGACAGGGGTAGTATAATGTATATTTTATGAGCTGAATTTTTCAAATTAAAATTTGACTTTTAAGTTTTAGCTTCAGCTGCATTAACTATTTAAGTTTGGAATGTGTACCCCCAATTCTTTAAGAGCTTCCTTTGCCATTTTTGATGTCCCTTACATGCACTTACCCTTCTTTTCCCAGCCTCCTGTGACAATAGCCTGGAGACTCCTATTCCTGGTAGTTATTCTTCTTCCAGTAATCCTCTGGGATTCAATTATATCTAGCTCTTTATTAGTTTTGAAACACTGCAGGCTACATTTTAATTTGCAGAGAAGCACTTCTATGTTGTCTTTACTTTTCAGCCACATGGCTCTCTCATGGTTGATTAGGCAGCTCAATCACTTCACTGTCATGCACTGTGCTTAGAGGCACCATTACTATAATCTCTAGCCACACTACTTAAGGCTTTGACAGTCCTAGCCTCCTGCTCTTCACCAGACCCCAAGGCCCTTCTAATTTTTAAGGGCAAGAGGACCTAAGGTCCCTGTGGCATGCTCTAGAGATGAAGTGTTCCCTGGAGTCCATTCCCTCCTCATGGTGTCTCTTAAAGCCACAGCTCTCTTTAGCTGCCTAAGGGCTCTTCTGTGTGAAAGGTTTACTCTACTAGGCCTCTGGGAGCTTCACCTCTGCATTTCTTCCACTTCTACATCCTTAAAATAATAAAGATTCAATTGGTATTTGATATAGATCTATTATGATAAGGCAGTTTCACTTATGTGATCTTATCAGTGCCTGCAACGACCCTATGGGGTAGGTATAATAATACTTCTTGATAAGTGATAAAACTAAATTTTAGAGAAATTGACTTACTCTTCTTCACATAGCTAGTAAGTAGGAGCATCTCAGGATTTTTTTTTAACTTATCAATATATTTACACCAAAAGTGCTAACATTAAAACTCAATGACTTTTCACAAACACACCTGTGTAACTGGCATCTAGATCAGGATTCAGAATACATTTCAGGATTTTAAGCTAAGGTTTCTGACGCCAAGTCCAGTGCTCTTTCACTCACGTATGTAGTCATTCAACAAATATTTACTTACTTTTTATTACATTTCGACTACTTTGCTAAACGTTGGGCTGTTAGCAAACAAGACTTCTGTGATCCCTGCCCTAATAAGAGCTTAGAATCTATGGGGGAGCCATAATATTTTGTTTAATTATAAATAAAGGAACTTATGGTATTAGAGGAATTTAAAGAAATTCAAAGTATGATTTCAGCATGGCAAGCAAGAGAGAAGGTTGAAGACAAATGGTCAAACCATACAAGGCTTTACTGGCTGGTGAAGCATTTGGATTTCACTCTAAACGCAGTGGGAAACCACTAAGCAATGCCCCTGCATTCATAAAACAACCTATTCCCTAAGAGCTTGTTTAATTCTTCAATTACCCTAACCTTTAGGTACTTCGTATGTGCCATTCACTTCACCAAGCTCATTACCTCAAATGTATAAAAATAATAATTTATATAAAACCTTGAGATATAGGTATATCATATGCAGATTTACATGTTAATTATTTATAAATTAATAAATTATAACATATTATCAAATACTTTTTAAAATTACTGTAAATAGTTATACATGCTGTCCCTCAGTGCTATATACACTAGGCAACAGTACCAAAATGCTGTCAGGTATTGCTGAATTTCAGGGATACTTATCCAAATCTCTAGAGCAAAGCCAGGCAAGTTATACAGATAAAGA